GGTCTCTACTCGCTTAAGTACCGACGTCTACGGGGCGACCTGATCCTCGTATTCATGATCTTGTCCAACCCTGGACATCCCTGTCGCCACCTACTCACACTGCACCAATCGGGCTCCCACCTACGTGGCCACCCACTGAGGCTCACACATCAGCACAGTCGGCTGAACTGCAGACGACACTACTTCGCTTTGCGAATCTGCCGACCGTGGAATGCTCTGCCTGCCGATTTAGTCTTGGCACCCACTGTGGCGGACTTTAAGACCCGCTTGGACTGTCATCTGGCCGAGCTACACCGCGATATTCCCTAATTTAACTCCATTCTACTGGATGGAATTTCTTTCTCTTTTCTTCTTCCACCTACTTCCTTTCCAAAGCCGTTTTGGAGGGCGTGATGGGATGTCTCGCTTTGAGCTGGCGTGCATTCTGTTTAAATGCCACATAAGCCCGATGAACATACGGCTAACACGCGAGTCCAACCCGCTATAAGGTTGCTTGGCCTTTCATTAGACCCGACCCGTACTCTTTTTACCCTATGGGTCATGTAAAGCTCGAGCTTTTATTCCCATTAAATACAATGTTTCAATGTTCCAATGGCCGGTGGCCGAGTGGTTTGCACGTTTGATTTGCAACCATAAGGTCATCGGTTCGAATCCGCGTAGGGGTGGGCGTCCTCGCGGTATACACAGCCCGCGCGCGACTGGTGGTGGTCGCGCGGCAGCGAAGCGCCGTTACGGCGTACAGCTGACACATTATTATTTTTTTATTATTATGGCCTAGATAAGCAAATGTTTGACTTCCGGTCAATCATCAATCTGACGCCAGTATACCATGAGTATTTTCTATTAGTATGTAACGTGTGTCGTATTCCTATGCAAAAGCACTTAAGGTTGGCTTTATTTCCCCCTTGAGCAGAATGTGGTGCACTCCACTGAAACAGTAAAGATGCAAAATGTTTGACTCCAATCTTTTGCACATTTCTCATGATACCCATGTCACCGACATAAACGATGATTTATGATTTATAAAACCGCTTCTAACGGCTCTGTCTTTTTTAATAAAGTTGAATGTGGACAGAAATGTTGTCGTCTTACGATGTTTTACAGATCTGATTCAACAAGGACCGTACGTTCACTGACTTTATATCATGGCAACGGATGGTAAACTAGCGAGCATTCTTTAAGCATTGTTGGTTGTGCCTCGAGCAAAATATTAATGCATACACTTTGTAAATAATCCAAACCTTCTATTAATGAAAAACACTAAGGGAACTAGAGACCAGGAAAAGTAAACAAAAGTGAATTTAAAAAACAATTCATTTAAAATGGTACATTTTGTGCAGCGAAGCATGTACGTTGTACCAGATGTATCCAACTAAGCAGAGGAAAGAACGCACAGATATTCGAAAGCACCACAGTGGATGAGTCATCTGTGAGTAATATGATAGATCCAAGGGCCCACATTATGGAAGACTGTAAACACAACCGAATAGCTGACGATGAATTTACTTGTGCCTCTATCTTAACTTTCTTTCCAACCACGCCCTAAGTTAACACAATGGCAACATCAATGAACGATCTACAATGAATATATGCCTAAAATAAATCCTTTTGTTGATGAGCATTTTTCAATTAGTTCAATGGGGCACTAGAGAATTTCTCGTCAAATATCAGACCGCGGACGTCTGTAGTTTTCACAAATGGCTTCTGTTCAACATGTGTATTGTATGCAGGCACGTTGCCAAAGGTACGTAGTCGTGTAATCGCTTCGGCTACGTTGGATACGAAATGCTACCATGCGGTATTACTATGCGCACTGAGGGGTTAGACACTATACACCAGCTCAATAGCTCTCCAGTATAGTTTCACTGCGAACCTACATAAGTTGAGTCAATTAGCATAAAGCTTTGGTTTGGTGACTGTCGTAAATGACAGTAATATGTCCATTAGAATCATTGTATCTATGAGCCAACTAAACTGGTTCGGTCTACGCTTAGTCCCACATTGCATCATACACGTAATAGGATAAATTTGGTAACATATATCACATTAATGCATGGTAACCCAAGGGGACGCACCTCATCCCCATGTCTTTCAATTCGGTTTCGGCCAAGCAACAAAAAGTTTCATTCAAATCATATAATTCGTATTGGGTTGCTTAAGCTCCGTATGTTAATTAGGACTAAAGCATAGAAACATAGATAATTATCTTAATGGACATCTAATTTCTGTAAAAGGAACAAGGAAACAATGGATTATGGCTTCTAAAACGCGTAGGCTTGACAAGTCCCTTAGGCTGATAAAGGAATGAATAGCAAATTCGAATACTACATAAACACAACAAATAAAATACGCATCGGAGAAGTGATACAGCAATGGCACATAGAACTATGGTTGTGGGTGAGAAATGGTACCATGCAAAACAGAACAACAAGTTGTTATGGTTGAAGCTTATTGTAAACGACTATCGGATACATCCACCCTCTGCACCGATTCAAGTTACATTGTGGATTATAATCCTATAGCAGATAGTAAGCTTGTATACATTTGAGAATTTCTGTTAAAGTGATTAAGTGGGGGAAGCTCATTGCTATAATTAAGCACATTTTGAAAATGGCTATATTGCTGGAACTGACAACTGCTTTTGGAAGTGCTTTCCAGGGTTAGCAGACCCGGATGAAAAAAATGAGTTCTTCGACAACCTAAACGACTGTATTGTTGATTCAGGTTGGTTTTCAGCCTGAATTGCAGAAGGTGGCGACATATCTGACTTGGTTGACTAGTTTTGTCCATTGAACAATGGGAAACTCTTCAGTCGTTTCTGGCATGGAAATTTGTTCAAACCTTGGGCATTTTTCGTTGACTGACTTTGCAAAGTCTCGGGTACTGCGGTGTTACACTTTAGCCAAGTTTGCCAAGCCAGATAGCGTATTCGACGTAAGGAGGCACGTAGGCATTGAGCATCAGGCAGAAGATGGATGATTCCAAACTCTTGCGTGCCATTTGCAGGAAAACAACATGCTGGCTATGTAATTTTGAAAATGTCTCGGACTGTCTGGAATGACCGAGGTCATCCTGTGCGAACACACCGATGTCACGTTGCAGAGAGTAAGCCTTCAAATCGTGCACCCCAAGTCTGTACTTGTAGGCGTGCTGATACTGGGTGTGGCCACGCGACACTTGTTCACGTTGAACGGCAAATCGTTCCTCACCGACTAATTCCAAGCCCCATCTGTATTGCGCTAGAAGGTCTCGTGGTTATCTAATCCCTTGATCGCACTCTAACTCCTAACGTCGGCCGCAAAGAATAAGTGTTTAAGGCAATATTTTCCTATTATATTGTTAATGATCAGTAAGAATAGGCGAAGTGAAAAAAATATCGAAACCTACGCTGCACCTCGCTTCACGGGAATTGAGTCGGGGATAACGATGTTCGGCTTCCAACTGCCTTTCACCGATAAAGTTACGAATCCATCCAAAAGCTGGGTCCATGATGCCATAGTGATGACTTTTATGAAGCAGGATACCATTATCCAAGTGACGGAACGCTGTTGAAATGTTTAAATAGATAACATCAGTTCCTGTCCCCATCGCTACTACTTTGGTCTAATTGTCACGTGCTATCAGCAATCCGTGTCACATACCGCTCCAGCGCAATAATGTCATCAGTCCTTCTGCAATGATCGCTTCCATGACCATTAGGAACAAAGGGACAAGCGTTACCGGGCTGTAATTGGCAGGCTCAGATCGACTTCTTCCCTTATGAATAGGATTGGTGATACCATGTTTTAACTTTTACGGAACTACGTGTTCGGCCAGGCAGCTTTGAATGAATCCAGCAATGAATTCGGACAGCTGCGTGGATGCACGTGCAACGCTTACGAGTGAATGTATTTCGCTCCAAGGAAGTGGTGTGTACAAAAGGATAGCAGCTTCTCCAGCACTGTTTCTGCAGCGAATGTGACGCTGATTTAACCCGAAAGTGGGCTGATGTAACTAGAAACAGCGTTCCAGCGTTGTACCCCTTGGGAATTAAGTGAGTATATGACCCGTAATTCGTTCGCCACCTCTCTCAGTGTATGTGTATACCCAAAACCATATTGTGTATTGGAATTCTGCGCTGCACCTAACTAGACATATCTAACTGCATGTAAGGAAGCTCGTGGCTCAAACAGAATCGTTTAAGCAGCATTTGTTGTTGTGCTAACTTGTCATCAAAACCAACTTCAGAAAATAGTTGCCTTGTGCTATGCACATTGTTCACTTTTTAATACTGTGCATGTTTTCGTAAATGCACCATATCCAAATGCTCTGAGTCGTGTAATTTTGCGTTCGGCTTCGGTTTGAGAAAACAGCGATCCGGAAATCCGCATTTTGCTAGAAGCTCCAGAGAAGGAGTTGTTAACGTAAACGCATTTTTTCCGAAAACAATTGTGAGGTACGAATAATGTAGTGGAATCACGAGCGCATTTACTCAAGCTCTCACTCCAGAAAAGACAACTGCAAACAGAAAGGTAAATTATTGATACACAGTAAAAGATAACTTTCGAATCTAGCTATTTTCATTGGTCAAAATCAAACAAAGATTGTCTTTTAGTTTCCCGCCCTTATAGATGAATATAGGCTAACCATGAGAGATGTAGTTCGAAAGCAATGATACAGTGGATAGCACCTGGTCAACAAAACTAGATTTTCTATGCGTCCGTTTCACAAACATGAATGCGCCTCTAGTTTAACACACCGCAACGAACAACAAGGAAACAAAAGCAGTCAATACAGCGACCTAAACGAAATAATGCGCTAAGGCTTGTGCCAACCCAGGCGTAAGTCAATTGCTTCAGTTTTGTTACCCATGGCAAAGATAACGTCATCGTTTTGGTGGAGTTCGCGGCATTTCGCAATTCTGGTAATTAGGCGTTTTGCGCAGAGTCTGCTTATAAATAGTTTGCCTTGTGAACAGGGTGGAGAAAGTTTTTAAAAAATCCTGAAGAAAAATATTTTACCTGGGGAAGGATCCTTTGTTCTAACTGCATGACCACTGTAGGAGCACGATAATTCGATGACTTTCTGGCGCACGATAGGCTGGTATGATCTGTAATCTGTATAATGCACCCGCTTGTCCTTGAACTTTTTCTAATCAGGTGTGTAAGACCTGAGTGCGCTTTTAACGGCATACCAACGTGCTGTGCTCAGCGTAACATGCTCGTTTAGCGCTCTGGTTACTCGCATCACTTGTGAAGCCTCCATCACGTGAGCGTCACCCATGGATGTTAAGCAGCGGTGCGCAATGACTGCGACTCAGGTTTGCATAATATCCGATCGATCAGCCAGTGTGATCTGAAAAGTCACGTAAATACCAAGTCGGTGGTAGACCGATTTCATTTACATCAAGCGTGGATGTGGGGTGAAGGCTAAACAACCTTATCAACATATATTTCTCGAAGCAATCTGATCAGTGGGTGTGAACCGAGTTGAATAGTATTGTTTAGTTGAATAAGAGCCCTGGGAGTTAAGTTGACAACAACACCTGTTAATATATTGTCACGTTCATCTTTCATGACAAAGTCGAGGGCTTGCTGATAAGCTTATATTCCAGAACTCAGCCCAAACACATTTTGTGAAGGCGCAGTCATAGTGTACCTTTAGATACTTGTTTTAACAGATAGCAAAAGCAGTCTGAATGTCAAAGATGAAAAGAATATCTAGTGACCAGCTTTAATCAAACCTTGTCCTAACAAGGGGCAAGTGCATACTTTGTCGGGTTCCGGTAAACTACTCATCGTTCCCGCGTTCGATTGGGTGAGAGATTTACTTTGGTGTGCGTAGTGTTACATTTTTCTGATGAATGGTTCAGCCGGCAAGGAATATAAACCATCGCGAAAATATTTCATTCGCGAAGCAGTGGTCTAGATATACGATAAATTTTTGCGCTTAAAAGCAGTCCATTTTACTTATGAGTAGAAGGATTTTGGTAAGTGTTTTTGTTCGTCGCAGTCAGCCGACAATTCAGCTAAGTCAGCTACCCACCCGGAAAAGCACCAGAAGGCGGTTTCGCCCTATTGGGACTCGTCGGTGGTGCGCATCCCTCGGTCCTCTACGGAGGATCAAACCAATGACTGCTACTGGCTCGTGCCAACTGGCTCGCTACTTATGCAACTGAGCAATGGAGGACGGCAGTCGACCATCACGAACTGTTAGCTAACTACGATGGGTTGGGTTATATCGTAGTTAGCTAACAATTCGTGATGGTCGACTGCCGTCCTCCATTGCTCAGTTGCATAAGTAGCGAGCCAGTTGGCACGAGCCAGTAGCAGTCATTGGTTTGATCCTCCGTAGAGGACCGAGGGATGCGCACCACCGACGAGTCCCAATAGGGCGAAACCGCCTTCTGGTGCTTTTCCGGGTGGGTAGCTGACTTAGCTGAATTGTCGGCTGACTGCGACGAACAAAAATACAGTCCATTTTAAGAACACGTGCGCTTTTGTCAGCTCTAACCTCTACACACAGCGACCCATTTGCTACTGTTTTTGCAGCTGCTTTCACTACCTGAGGAGTGTAAACAAGTTCCATTTAGGATAACGTGCGATTAACATACTATCGAAGTTTGATCAAAAACGAGCCAATTTGACCAAGATGCGCTGTACAGTTTGCTTCGCAATTAGAGTTTGTGTGTGACTAGTCAATTCAAATAACTGCTGTCTCAACATGAACGATTTCAAAGCAATTATCTAAACGCAGATTATATTATGTTGGATCCATTAACGGTCTACTTTAAAAAATATATAGAGTACGTCGGTTTATATACATAAAGTTAGCCCCTCCATCGAACTGCATGTTAGGTTTTGCAGTTATTCATTTTAAATCCACTACCTAATGATTTTGTAAAACTTATATGTTTGGGTAACATTTCATTGTAACTTAATCTGAAGCCAACTAAGAACAAAGCGATAAGCGATAGGAGGCACGAGATGTTTTACTACTAAATATTTGACGCAATTAATTTGCTTATTATCCCATGAACACAGTAAACAATGATTGAATTTTCTGGACATAGATGTTCAGTTAACTTTATCTGTCGACCATAGATTCCATTTACTTGCAGTGATCTAAGAGAAAATCAGCGGAGCAAAACAACAAATAAATCCGCGGTAACTGAAGCACATAAAACAATGGTGACCCTAATTAATGTGTCTGCACCATACGACTAAACGTGAATTTATTGGTAGTTAAAGTGTGTACAGAAAGGCAATGACCTTATCCGTAGAGTATGGGTCTGGAAAAATGAATTAACATATCCTTACAAAATTCTATCAAGGAAATCACAGTAGACTACAATGTTTCTTCAAATACTACAAGGCAACATACCATTCTATCGCATTAGTTTCAGCAAACTGAAGATTAGTATAATAAATGGTTTCAGCATTCTATTATCTGAGTTGAGAAGCGGTGGAGTACTACTGTGATGCCTGACTAAAAGATCCTCTTAGAGCTGCATGTATTAAAACTAAATGCATTGCGCGATTGAAATAGAGACAAATAATTCAATTCATTTGTGGTTTATTGCAGTATACATCTAAGTCCAACATAAGCGATAAAAACATAATCATTATGTTGCAGCGACAGCTACGTTAAGAGTATGCTTAAGATGAAGCTGCGTGTGAATTAGTAAAAATGTTTCTGCACATAGGATAAACAAACCTAATATTAGTCTTATTACACTTGTTTCTATTTTCTTTTTTATCTTATCCACTGTTACGTTATGTTGCAGCACATTAGGTATCTCTCGTTTTCAACCAACTACTACAGTGGTTAACGACATTAATTCATTTATCTTTCTGTGTTTTCTGGACCATTTGTGATATCAGTGGTTGAGTACAAATCGCAGTCTATAATTCTTGTATGTGTTCACTGGATAGAAAGCAGTCCTTTGCGGAAAATTTCTATTAGTACTCATCATGCAACGGTGTTCGGTTGTGCAATTTTTCATATGCTGCCAAAAGGTGGGCACACAGCTTTCCATACAATGCCGAATGAAATTAGCTAAAGATGTCGTACACGTATGTTTCATGACAACGCAAAGATTTGTTGCGAAGGAACTTGCCGGTATACATGACAGGGTGACAAACCAAACATACAAAATTACAAGCATTTGGCTGTCAGTATTCGTGACAGCGGACTAAATGCACACTTCCTCAAACCACATTACAGTTGAGTTGCTAATTCACTATGGGGTGTCCATAACACACTGCTAGTAATTGCTGAATTTCAGATCTCATGCAGTGGAAAATTGAAATCGTCTGCGGTTTGAATTACAACCGTAATTTCTGCACTATTGCATCTGGGATGCAGTCAAGTAAAATGAGGTTTGACAAAGATGACAATTAACCACCAAAAAGTATAGAAATTATTTCTACCATATCAACTGAGTAAGGATTTAGAGCTATCGCGTTCTATGTTCATTCTATGAGTGTAACCAAACAATTTTTACAATTAACTGTAAAGGAAGACAACTTTGTATCAAAAGGTAACACATTTTGTCACAACAACAGGCTCGAATTCTGGACGATTCTAATCAGAATGTTTGCATCGTAAATGGTACACTTTTAACGTAGAAAATCAACTATATTGCTTTGCGCTAGTCCACAGAATGATTTTGTTTACTTAACTAAAACTACGCTTATGAAGCAACATTTTTCATCTTGGTGTTCGTTCATTTTAGTCTTCTTAAACTACTAGGTGCGCAGCAATACACTTTTGCAATAAACGTAGAGATACAGATGCCTTGAAAAAGTGCGCTTTCACTGGATACCAAATTTGTCTTTGTATTTGCGTAGCAAATGGCTATTTGCATATTAGTTACTATACAATATATACGTTCACAGTTACCATTACCACGGACAGGAGAAGGTAATATTATGTCCTGGTCGCAGAAATTCTCTCTAGTTAGGAACATGCCTTGTGTGCCGACAAAAGATATTACAGTTTTTCCTTCTACATGCTTTTTGGAGGTCTAAATTATCTTAGCTATGTTATCGCAACACAAATAAATAGGATGTACGGAAAAAGCAAGATACCAAATGTCGCATAATATGAAATATAAACAAGTGTCAATATGTTTTGAATTGTATTACGTATCAAGAATGAGATCGCCGTTAGAGATGAAGCTTGATGACCATGAACTCAGGAGACAAAAACAACTTAAGTCGACTCTTCGTCACGTTACCATTTGTCTCAATCGATCAGCCCCACCCTCTTTGGGACTTTACCCAGATAATCGGAAGGTACCAACCAAGACCAACTTGGAAGTGAGAGCCTTCACTGCTCTTCAGTAATTCAGCAGTTCGCCTCCATCCATATTTTCCATCCAGACCCCTGTGGCTCAGAGAGTGCACACCGCAGATGTCGATGTGCAGGTAGGTATAACGTCTGATTTGACCATCGAATGCTAGTGTGTGTAATAGCGAAGCAGAGCATTTCACTCGCTTTTCACTATCAAATACTAGACGATAAACAGATTCGTTTCTGTGTTCCCACTAGATATTAGCGAGCTGATAAGGTAGTGATGATCTAAAGTAACTAACCACTTTATGTCTGGCGATCGGATCAGCTAACCTTTGAAAACCATGCTGGAAGGATAAACGTGCAAGCGCGTTGCAAACACTGCCCTTAACGACCGGAGTTATGTCGCGTCGGCGCCGCATGTGTCTTTGCCACCTCTTGTGACTTTATTTTCCCTTCCACAGACACTCATACAGCAACCTAGGAACTTGCTCTTTTGTGTGAAGGACAAATGATGACTATTAGGTTTCAAGAGAAGCATTTTACACTTTTTAGGTGCTAATCATACTCCGCAAACGTTGACAGTCTCGGTTTACATATGCATTGCCGTTTGGCACGTTTCTGAACTGCCACAAATTGTGATAATGTCCTCACTGTGCGACTACTCGAGAAGTCGACCGCCTTAGGGCAGATACATACTCTTGAATTGAAATCCAGTGAACGCGGTTACCACAACTGAATCTTTGCCAAGTTACGGAGGACGAGTGACAGCCGTTTAATAATAGGTTGTTTAGTTGTTCTACGGTATTATTACGCCGAAGATGGTCGCTATTTGCGTTAGGGGTAAAATCAGGCCTTTGCCCGCTCATAATTTTTAGAAAATAAGAAAGTATGCATTAATTTTGATTACAAATTTCCTATCAATAGGAAAACAACGGTGATCTGATGTAACCATATTGCATAGTACGTGTAGTTTAAATAGGCACGCTAACTACGGCGTTATTTGTGATAATGGAAACTGAATATCAACAGAGTATTACATGACATTTG